AGTCTCAGATGGACTGACATAACTTGCCTGGACTTTTTTTCCTTCAGTTTCCTGTATCTACCTCATTTAGGCATCTTTTCATTTCTCCTGTACCAGAAAGTGGGTTAAGTGGGCTTTTTAGCCTTCTTCTTCAGGAAATGCAGACCTCTGGCTCAAATTTACTCAATTGCCTGGACGAGGGATCAGTTTTGTTCTGTTGATTACAAGCATCACTGCCACTCAGGGTGTTTATTGTGAGCGTAGATTCACTGACCCCAGACCTACTAGATCAGATTCTCTAAAGTTAGAGTGCAGGAATGAGCAACAGCACAAGCTCGTTTGCACAATATGCTTTAGAACCATCGCATCAGTGTGGTGGCTCAGATGTCTTATCTTGGGGGGCGTGTCTAGCTCCCAATAAGCTTGAAGGCAGATGGTCCTCTTTATTTTTTTTTTATTTTATTTATTTTTTTATCCTTTTTGTCTTTTTTCGTGACCGGCAACGGATCACAACCCTCAGTGTCGCGCCCGTACCGGACCGGGACCGGCCACGGGATCGCAACCCTCGGTGTTGCTCCCGCCCCTCGCTCAGCCAGTGAGTGGCCGGTCTGTATGTGGGATCTGAACCCTCGGCGGGAGCGCCGCCGCGCTTCCCAAGCGGTGCACTATAGCAGTGCGCCACCGGGCCGGCCCCCAGATGGTCCTCTTTAAAGAAGGATCTATTGCATCTGGATTCAGGTTGTCCCCCTGGCCTACCTCTGGTGTGTTCCCTGAGGACTCATTCAGTATGGTCCTCTCTACCCCGTGTCCTTCACACACACCGATAAGTGATTTCGCAAGGTCTCATCACTACCCCAGGATGATAATTGTTTAATGACACAGGGCAGATCACAAACAGTCTTAAAAAATGCCTTATGCTTACTGAGTTCTTACCCTGTGCTGGGCACTGTGTTAAGTCTTTACATTTATTTATTTGTGTAATGGCAACCCTATGAGGTAAGTACTATTTTACAGTCCTTATTTTATAGATAGGAAAACTGAAGTCTGGAGAGGTTCATTAACTTGCTCAGAGCTAGGATTTGAATCTAGGCAGTCTGGCTACACAGCTCTGTGTGTCTGACCACCTGTGTTTTACCTCCACATGCAACAAAAGCTGTATCCTGCACTTATGCCCCTAATGGGGGAGGAAGTTCATGGGGATACATATTAGTCCATTTCTGGTGCTTATAACAAAATACGTGGAACTGGGTAATTTATAAGAAAACAAAATTTATTGCTTACAGCTTAGGAGGCTGGGAAGTCCAAAGTCTAGGGAACACATCTGGTGAGGATTTTCTTTGATGGTGGCTTTACAGCAATGCAGAGGTCTCACATGGCAGAAAATGGTGGAGCAGAGAGAGAGAGAGAGACTCTCATGTGCTGTCCTTTTCAAGCCCTCAGAACCATGCCCCTGACCACCATTAAACCATCAACTTAATCACCTCTTCAAGGCCCAACCTTTCAATTACTGTAATAGGATTTTTCACCCTTAGCAGTTAACAGTGGAGATTAAGTTTTGGGGGTAATTCAATCCAAGTCAGGATGTGTTTGTTTTTTCTTACAGGAAAGCCAATCCAGGATGCCATATATCCAGAGTGTTAACTACCGTTGCAGGTTTATTGCCAATCTCCCTACATTTCATTTTGTTCTCATGTGTTCAGAAGACTGGCTTGCACACAGACATCCTATTTGGCCTCAGCATTAACACGACATTAGGCTAACCGTGCCTGTGCCATACTGTCAGAGTTCTTTGGCCTGGAACCCCCACCTCTTCCACAGTCATCTATGCCCTTAGACATAACTTCATATCCTAGGAAGCTTCACCAAAGGCATAGAATCATGTGAAGAATTCTCTAGGACAGCAGTTCTCAACTTTAGATGCTAATATTAGAATCACCTGGAGAGCGTTCAAATATTCAGTTTCCCAGGCCACACGCAGATCATGACATCAGATTCTCTGGTGGCGAGACTAAGGCGTCAGCATTTTTAAAGGCCTTTATTAATTACAATGTGTAGCCAAGTCTCCAACAGTGGTGGCTGAGGTCACCACTGTTCTAGGCTGAGGGGTAACTTTGAAAAGATGGCAAAGTCACAACTGTTGTCCCTGGCCGTTCATGTGGTTGTTTCTGACTGATGTGCCCCTTGCTTCCTCCTTTTCTTTTGTTATAATGGTCTCAAGGGAGCCTACCAAACTCTCTGTTTCCGCACTGGAATTTAAAGTTGTAGCTCTAGGATTAAATAAAGTGACAGCCCTGGACTTAGTGTGTTCTTATTTATTCAATAAGGCTGCACTGTAATAACAAACATTCTGCTCATCTTGCTCCCTGATCAATACTTTGGATGTCTGAAACCTGAGGTCTTTGTCTGTTCTACTGGGGCTTTAAATCAGGGAGAAACCAAAGTGCCAAGATGCCTAGAAAAGCTGAGATCCTTTAAGTATTTTTATTGGAGCATAACAAGCTGTAAGAGAAAGAGAGGAGAGAGGCCTCCCAAACAAACACATCAGAGGGAAGGGTAAAGGTCTCATTTTAAGCTGATTTATTACACCTCTCTCCTGATAAAGATCACCCAATGCTCTGTGATATGATGTGAGCAATAACAGTGCTGCATTGGCAGGTGGCTGGAACCAGGGGTGGATTGTGAAATGGTTCACACGGAAGGTGTCTAATTTCTCTCTCTCTCTCTCCCCCCCTTCCTCTTGCTTCAGCTCTCACTCTCTTGATCTCTATCTTTCTCAACCTCTCTCTTTCTCTTTCAATTTTAATCCTTGTTCATAGAATATACTTTTTGGAGGTAGTTCCAGTAATGTCAGGCTCCATGAAATCAATAAAATTTCCAGCATCCACCTATCATATTGGTAGCTGCATTCTTCTGATGTACCTGGAGAGCTCAGATGTTAACAAGAAGGCAATTTGGTATTGGGAAAACATCTTTCTTTGTTGCAATCTTTTTTCAGCTATCAGATTTTTTTTTCCTGTTTAAATTATGCATATACATTTTATTGGGCAAATGATTAGAATGAGAGGACAAAACTGTCAAAGAAATTACTTTAAGTCAGTCTTATATTTTAAAAATCAGATGCAAGAAGTTTGGGAAAGTATACTTAAAAAGAAAATTGAACTGTACACTGTTAAAAAACCAACCATTCCAGAAATGTACTCCATTTACCAAAGTCCTTTTTTTCTTGTGTGTTTAGTATATGCTACCACATGTTACTTGGTTCCCCTAGTCAATTAAGAAGTAACTTTTTTTTTTTTTCCTTTTTGTCTTTTTTACTGACCGGTAACAGGATCGCAACCCTCGGTGTCGCGCCCGTACCAGGGACCGGCAACGGGATCGCAACCCTCGGTGTCGCGCCCGCACCGCGCTCAGCCAGTGAGTGGGTACCGGTCTCCACATGGGATCCGAACCCTCGGTGGGAGCGCCGCCACGCTCCCAAGTGGCGCACTCTCCAGTGCGCCACCGGGCCGGCCCAAGAAGTAACTTCTATTATCATTTTCCCGTTGCGTATCAATGGGAGAACTCATGATGGGACCATGATGAATAAGCTCAAGATTCTTTTTATGTGAAATTACAGTGTATTATATAGGAATTTACATATTGAAAAATACTTTTGTGCCTAAGTATATGCATTTCTCAGCATTTCTCAGGATGTCTAACTGATATTTTCTCTGTTTTAGGCATTCTGGGTGTAAAGCCAAATAGCCACAGTCAGACTGGGTGTCCTATTCATAAAATGAAGTGGTAGCTTTTGGAGTTTCAAGGACTACTGATCTTCATGTCCTCTTTCCTTCCTTCTTAATTATGCCCACACGCACACACACCACACACACACACACACACACACACACACACACACACTTCATTTTAGAAGAAATGTAGCCACAGTATGGAAATGTATTAGGGGAAAAAATCCTTCATAATTTCATTACTATAATAAGGACACATTACTTTATTGGAGGCACTCTTTACAGTTTTTTTTTTCTAAAATAGTTGCTTCTTTTAAAAATAGTGTTTATAACTAAATTATCTTGATTTGAGCATCACATATTGCACACAGGTATTGAAATTTTATGCTGTACCCCACAGATATGTATAATCATTTATGTTTTAATAAATAAATAGTGTATATGCAAATCAGTTATTTTTTCCTCTTGTCTGATCATAAGCATTTTTACATATTTTAGCATAAAATTCACAACTAACATTTAAAATGGCTATCTATTCTACTTAGTCGATAAAGATGCATACAATTTACTTAAACATGTCCCAATTTTCAATTTTTAACTATCCTAAGTAATGTTAAATGGTTGTCTTTGTGACTAAAGCTCCTTTCCTGCCCATATTTTACATCATTTCCCTAGAATGAATTCCTAGGATGTGACTGTCCTAATTCACCAACCAATGCCACACGGAGCTGTTGGAGCACCAGCAGGCACCGTGGAGTCTCTAATAAATAATCCATATTGATCTCTCATTTTGTGATTTATCTTACTCTCTTTGCTCTTAGAACTGTGATTCATGGCTCCAAGGGGCAATTTTGGAAAATCATTTACCAGCTGAGACACTCTGACCACTGCACATATAAGGTCAAGGTGGAGTACACCTGAGACAGAGGGATCTCAGACATCCAAATCCAGAAACTCAGCCACTGATACTTTTTCTAGGAGGATAATCCAAATTCTGGGCATACTGATAGCAGGGAGGGAACATGGAGTTTCCTGGTCTTGGAGCATGGAATTTTCTGCATTTCCTGGTCTTCATCAGCCTCCCCAGTGCTTTTTCCCAGACAGGTAGGAACTGCTTCAGATGGTAGCTGAGATCTTGTCCTAGGGTTATGACTGTGCAAAGCCCAAGTTAGGAAAAAGGCCAGCAAGGGGCAGGGGCTGTGGTCTGGGAAAGAGATCAGTCTGTGTTTTCTGAATACAATCTCTTTGTGCATAGCAAGGGAATACATCTTTGTGGCCTAACAAGCTTGACTGATAACCTTTTCCCTCTCTGCTTTCCATACTACAGACATGAGCGAAAAGGCCTTTGAGTTCCCCAAAAAGTCAGATAACTCCTTTGTCAGTCTGACTGCAGTCCTAAAGAAGCCACTCAATGCCTTCACCGTGTGCCTTCACGTCTATACAGAGCTGAGCCGTGAATATAGCCTCTTTTCTTAAGCCACAAAGACACTAGATAATGAAATCCTCCTCTACAAGGAAAAGACTGGAGAGTACAGTTTATCTGTGGGTGAAGCTGAGGTAGTTTTCAAGCCTCCTGAGAGTTCTCCTGCACCGTTGCACCTCTGTGCTAGTTGGGAGTCCATCTCAGGAATTGCAGAGCTCTGGGTGGATGGGAAGCCCATGGTAAGGAAGAGTCTGAAGAAGGGGTATATTGTGGGGACAGAGGCGAGCATCATCCTGGGACAGAAGCAGGATTCATTTGGTGGGAGCTTTGATGCAGACCAGTCTTTGGTGGGAGACACTGGAGATGTGAACATGTGGGACTTTGTGCTGTCACCAGATGAGATTAACGTGGTCTGTGTTGGTGGGACCATCAGTCCTAATGTCCTGAATTGACGGGCACTGATCTATGAAGTTCATGGTGAAGTGTTCACGAAACCCCAGCTGTGGCCCTGAGGCCCTACTGAAGATGCCTCTTGGGGATTTCACCGGGTATTTCTCTTGTCTCTGGCTCTCTCATGTCCTGGGGGCCTGTACTGCTCCTCTTCTCCACTTTTTTCATCAGCACAAGGGCTGGTGCAGAGCAGAGGGTCCCATTCCTGGCTACACCTTAGAATCCCCAGGCCATACCCCAGGCCAATGAAATCTGATTTTTTGCTGGTGAGACCCAAGCATCATGTTTTTTAAAGCTCGCCAGGTGATTCTAATGTTCAGCAGAAGCTGAGAGCCACCGAATTTTTGTGTCTGTTCAAGAGCTAATGAGCCAACTTTTTTTTTCCTTCTAGAAGTCTGCGTGCATGTAACTATAGTTCTGCTAACATTTTCATTTGTCTTTATAGACATACTTGCCGCATTTTATTGAGCATTATTATATTAGAGAATACAGGAATAGAATTTTTCCAGCATTCTGCCTCGACCATCAGGATGTGGCCATTATAAATAAGAATTATTATTTTTTCTTTAATCCTTTCAAATGGAAGATTTAAAAATCTAAAAAATACTTTGTTGTTTTTTGTTTAATTTGTTCTTTTTTTTCTTCAGGATGAACAATTTCATTATGTGAAGCTTTCATTGTTTTTCCTTCTCATTTGTCATCACTCAGATAACTTTTATCTGTGTCTTCAGCCTTATATTTTGAGCTTTTATTTTTTTCAAACCCCTCCTCCATATTATTGATTTGTTTTCTGCTTTGCATGCTGGGATTCTTTCTGTTTCTAATGCTACTTAAAATTCTGCAAGGCTTTTTTTCTTAAATTCTTCCTTAGATTTAGCATGCTTTTTTTCAGCCCTCGTTTTTCATCAAGTCTCTGTTTTCTTCAGTTTACTTGATAGTTTAGTGCAGTTGCTGTCTAGAGTTTTCTAAATTTTCCTGAGATTAATCTTTTTTTTAAGTAAATCTTTTACATGCTTTAAATATTTTTAAAAAATATTTTAGTACTTTTCAGTGCCACCATTTGTTCAAATATAGTGTGAGGGGTGAGTTCTCTTTGAGTCACCTTCCTGCCTACCTGAACATAATTAGGTTGGCTAAGAATCTTAGCTAGCTGGCTGATAAACTTAGGTTATACTAGGAGTTACTATCATTTAGCCCTAGGACTGACCTCTCGTAACTCCCACTTTAAATAATTCCCCCATCTCCAACAATATCTGCTTATTATCCCGGACTCTCCTAGGTGCACTTTCTCAGATATCTGTATCTTCATGTCTCCCTTAAAGGGATGACCCAGAGTGCTTAATGACCTAGAGTGCAATTAATAACACTGGCATAATCAGGTAAGACCAAGTCTTGGGTTGTTTTGGAGAGGGTGATGGTCTGGGGAAGCTTCCCCCTTGGCACTGGTGCCATGTCCCAAGTCTGATATACATTGGTCCACAGCTAAGGGGCCCAACGTCACACACACATGACAGCTCTGTCTGGGGCTCTGGGTTCCTTCACTCTCCACCAAATGTGAAACAAATAGAGATTCCCGTTGCAGCTCTGTCCTGAAGCTTGGATCTGGAGGGGAAAAGTTTCAGGAAGGCCATGTCTACTTTAGGTCTGAGCTGAGTTTTTCAAATCTAGCTTTGCCAGCCACAAAGCTGATGCTGTGATCCTTACTTGAGTGTATATTTCTCAGTTCATTTAGAATAGGGGAAGAGGTCATATAGTCCCCTCAGTTCTCTAATAATACCATGTAGAGAGATAGAAGCTCCTCTGTTGAGAGGCTGTCCACCTGCAAGCAGCAAGAGTGGGATCCAGATAGGACATCAGACTTATAAGAGTAGTGACAGCAAAGCAGATGACCTCCCACTGACACTGCCACGTGAAGGCTCTGCTGTCACCGGGGTTGGGATTTACTTTTGGAGGCAGGGCAGGCTTATCCTGGTGTTCCAACTCCAAACGTCGTACAGTTCTGCAGGAGCTGGGGCAGGCTCACCACAAAGCAAACTGAGTCCTGATGTGGGGAATCTTTGGGCTTTATATTGTTGGTGTCAGGGACTGAAAGTCAGAACTTGATCCCATTTCTCTCAATATGTTTTACTCATGTTCAAGGTCAAAGAGGCACTATTGAAGATCTAATCTGTACATTTGTATGGCTCATTTGCTGTTTCTTATAGGTCACCTTACCCTCCAACTTCCAGGCTTTAAGTTAACCAGACTGCCTGAACTGAGATCCTGGTTGCATCTCTTAATGGCTGTGTGACACTGAGAAAGTTACTTAAATGCTGTATGTGTTCTTCAGGTTTCCTCATCTTTTAAATGGAGATAAAATAGGGTCTACTTCACTTGCATATATCTCGAGCTCCAGGCATGCTGTTGTCTATGATTTAGTAATAATATTAGCTTGATTGTGATTGTGGATTTCAGAGACCCAGGCTCTGGGTCAGAGACCTGGTAGGGTGAAGGAATCCATCAATGAATAGATATACAAGAAGGAACATCTCAACTCAATGAGGGGGTGTGTCAGCTTCTAGTGGAGAAAAAAAAAAAAAAAATCACAGAAATTATCACAAACTTAAGGCCTCAGGGGAAAATTTGAAAGGCCTATCCCTGGAAGGCTGTGGCTGCAGGAAACAGGTTTGCTCAGAGTTAGGTGGAAGACTAACAGCGGAACTGTGAGGAAGCTTCAAAATTTGCATGTGGTCTGAAAACTCTCATTCAGATTTTTAGGGGAACATCAGAAACTCAGGGAGGAGGAAATCCACTTAAAAGCAGGCTTTATTCTATAGTCAAAATAACAGGAAATGGAAAAGGAGAGAGAAGTATTGTGATCTGTGTTGGCCCCTCAGGGGGCAAGAGGAGCAGGATCCGTGTGAGCAGCTGGCTGCACGTCTCAACGCTCAGCAACGGGGCTCCCTTCAGAAGAGGCAAGGAGCCACAGAGAGAAGGAAGTGGCCAGCAGAGGAAGCACGTCCGACCACACTCCTGAGGAAAAGAAGGGGAAAGGAAGGTTTCTGTGCCATTGAACAGCCCAAGCTACTTTGGGCCTGAAGACTCTCAACCTCTAGTGAGAGGGCGGTAGCAAGGGAGGAGCCAAGTTAGAGGACACAGTGGTCGTCGTCAACCCCCGAGAGCAACGACTTTCCAAGCGCGAACTGCAAAGCATCAGTTCTGAGTCCACAGATCCTTTGCTGGGAAGCCAGGCTCAAAAAGAAACATGTCTGCACAGGCTTCCCTATTTCCATTAAGCAAGGAGAATCATCTTTTCAAATGTAAATAAGACCAGTCTCCTTCTGATGAAAAACCTGCAAAAGTTTCCCACTGCACTTAGTGTGAATCTCAAGTCATTTTTGTGGCCCTCCAGGCGGTGGGTTTTCTGTAGTCTGCTCCCTCTGTGGCCATTTGACTCCTCTCTCTCTCTCTATTTCTCTCTCCCCGCCCCCCCCCCCCCCCCCCCCCCCCCC